GGCAATCTAGACCAGGCACGTCTTGAAGATCTCCAGAGAAGGAGACTCAGAAGCACAACCAAGTCCTGTCAGCTCTTGGCAACCACCACTCGACATCTGGCCATAGAATGTCCTCTGTCAGTCAACACAAGCACAACCAAGTCCTGTCAGCTGTTGGCCACCACCACTCAACATCTGGCCATAGAATGTCCTCTGTCAGTCCCTTTGCAAAGTTTTCACTGTAAGAGTTCATTAAGTAATTATTCTAGGATGGTAGGTTTGCGGTACCAAACATAACATTAAATTCCATGTCTACACACAACTGTAAAGGAAACTTCTGATTAGGACTGTAAATGTATTTATAAATTCAATTTTAAATCCCATCAGTATCCATCTGGGATGATTTTTTTTGAATAAAGATTAAATTGCTACAAAGCTTCCTTCTGAAGACTTGACCTTGAAGTGAAATTTAAACCCTTACATGTCTAGACTGTGAACTGGAACCAGCTCCTTCGGTATCCATCTGGGATGATTTTTTTTTTAATAAAGATTAAATTGCTAGAAAGTTTCCTACTGAAGACTTGACCTTGAAGTGAAACTTAAAACCTTACACGTCTAGACTGTGAACTGGAACCAGCTCCTTCCTCTGCAACTTGCTAACTCCAGCATTTCTCAGAGGACCGCAATTGGAGAGGCATCTGGTGATGAGGAGTCAGAGAGACGTGTACACATTGGATATTTTCTGTCGGTGAGATTTCAGATTTTTCCTACATTCCTTTGATGAAAGTATGGAAATGTCAAGCTTCCAAAGTAGCGTGGGCTTTATAGGACTTTGGGCCTCTTGAGAAACAAGGGCACTCAAGACCTGGTGAGGAAATGGCCATTTGAAAAAAAATCCTCTGCAACTTGCTAACTCCAGCATTTCTCAGAGGACGGCAATTGGAGAGGCATCTGGTGATGAGGAGTCAGAGAGACGTGTACACATTGGATATTTTCTGTCGGTGAGATTTCAGATTTTTCCTACATTCCTTTGATGAAAGTATGGAAATGTCAAGCTTCCAAAGTAGCGTGGGCTTTATAGGACTTTGGGCCTCTTGAGAAACAAGGGCACTCAAGACCTGGTGAGGAAATGGCCATTTGAAAAAAAAAAAAAAAAAACCCACAAGCTGTACCCGGCAAAAGTTTACCTGCTTCAAAACTCCCACTTATGTAAAAGAAGAGGAAGAACAGGAGCTGTTTTCTGCAAAAGTTTACCTGTTTCAAAACTCCCACTTAGGTAAAAGAAGAGGAAGAACAGGAGCTGTTTTTCAATGCCAACACTGCTAAATCACATCTCATAAGCATTTCATAAAAGGAATCCACTTGACTATATAACAGCTGTAGACATTTACTTTGCAGGCACACACTGAGGCACCCCGGAGAGCCCTGCTCGCCGTTCCTCCCTGCTCACATGGAAGGTGGCAGCTCCTGTGGTGGCACATGTGAGGCACCAGCACTTGGCTGCAGCCCGTGGAAAGCTCAGCCTTTACATGTGAAGGTGGTTCTTCCCCGACACCAGATTTCCCCCCCTGGCTTTTCCCTGCTAGATCCTATGCTTCTCACTTCTTAAAATATTGTCATTTATTTATCACTGCTATATTGAGCTACACAACCAATTCTAAACCAATCTCAGCACCAACACAAAAGCATTTTCTTGAAAGAAAAATGCTCAGAGGATCCAGGGTGTCCGCAAGAGCCACTTTAGTGCCCAGGGAACCTTATAGCATAAATCCTCACAGGCTGCTTCATTAATTAATAATCTGTAAGCATTTAATTGGTACCACTGAATATTCAGAACATAGAAATGTCAGTCTGGGCAAGGAGGCACCAGGGAAAGAGCTGTTCCATGAACGTTTTTTCTGTGACTGTCCCTGTAACTTGTAGCTTGCCCCTTTATCAACAGAGCTCTCCCTTCCATGCAATGTCCAGAACGCTCCTGTGGGATACAGAAGTCTCATGCTTACTTCAGTAGATGCTATTTGTGTTCTTGGGGCTGTGGAGCAAGAAGGAGCATAATCAAACCCACCCTTGGGCCCCACAGGGGGCAACGGAAAAACCTCCCATTGACTTTGGACCCAACCTTGCCTTAGCCCACATTCAGGATGGCTGAGAGAAGGTCTGTTAAGGACTGGAGGGTCTGCTCCAGGGAAGGGGTTTTCACTGCAGCAAAAAGTCTGAACTAGCTAAAGGCCACGACAGTGCCCTTAAGATGTTTTTTTATTACCTAAGGGTAAGTGTCAGCCTTGTCAAGGACTGTTTCCAAAGTATCAAGGGAGAAGGATGAGCCCCATGGGACACAAGGACATCCTTTCCCAGCTTTCCTCTTGCTAAATATGTGCATGATCAAGAAGGAGGCATCTGAAAAAATAGGTACAAAATAGGGCTGCCATCAGTAGGACTGGAAATCTTTTAGAAAAACTCACATCTTTGAGTAAATGCATAAAATGTTCATTGTTTCAAAATCCTTCCTTATATTACTGCTTTGCTTCCCCTACAAAAGAAACAATGGCCTTGCAATGAGGCAGACTCCTAAGGACAGATCATGGAGGGTGTGAACCCAACTGGATGTCCCCGGTCAGACCGGTGGATGCCTCCAGTGCTGGAGTTGAGGGCTGGTTCTCAGAGCCACAGACTTGCAGGTGGTGGCCGAGGTGCCACCAGGCCAGCCTGGCACCCAGGCCAGTGATGGAAGGGAAGATGCCTCATACTTGAGATCTCTTCTCAGCTCCTTGCCTCAGAAGAAGGCTCACACATCAGGGGCAGGGCTCCTTCCCACCTCTCCAGGAAGACCCAAGAAGACTCACAGCTTTGCGCTGCTGCTGTGGAAGTTTGTTGAATCCAAAAGCTTTTAAACAACACACTAATTTCAGAGATGAGATGTGGTTTTGGTTAAAGTGCTTTGCCAGAAGGTTTCCAACTAGTTCTAGTTTTGGAGAAACCTTTCAAAACTCATTAGTTTATTGAGCTATTTTGCTAATCTGTCCCAGTACCTCACCTTCAATCTTTTTCTGGGCCATAGCATCACTAACACTGACTCCCTCTACTGAACCCTCTCATTTGAAATCTTCTCTGCAGTTTCCTTCTTTCCCTGTGGCCAATATGAAACCAAATTTAGCCTGTGTGCTTACATTATTCAGGTTATTCCTCCCTTACTGTTCTGCCACAAGGTCCACAACACTGCTGAGCTGCTGTGACCTCTGATTGCTGTGATTAGCTAAAGTGTTTCTGTCCACAAATATTATTTATTGGTAAGTTCAATATAATAATAAAAAAACCCATGGCAAAATAAGGAAAGATTAAGAAATATGGCACCCTTTGAGCACACATTACCACCTTCTGGAAGTTATGCAGTTATTAAACATACTTATAAGGGCTTGTCACCAGGCACTCAGAACATACCCTACCCAGTTTAGCTTAAGAGCAAATAATTATTTTCCTCAGCAGCAGTTATTGCTCATTAAAATGCCCTTGCTATTACACCTGTTTGGCATAACTCAGCAGGTATAAGGTAATGCCTCTGAAATGAATTGTGTAAAATTGTTAATCCCTTCTGGAGAGCATTCAAAGGAATGACTTTATGTCTTTACATTAACCTTATATTTGCCAGGCACTTTCTGCCAACCAGAAATGAGTGGGATTTCCTAGCACAAACTGTACATGCAACCTCTAAACACAGAGAGTGATACAGACTGCTGCCTTCCGTGCTCAAGGTGAAAATTAGCTGAAGAGAGACCTCCAGCAAACCTGCCTTCCAACTCAATCTTGAATTTGATGATCACCTCTTTTTAGAAGAGCACACCTCCTTCCCTGACTGAGCCTCTGAGCTCATACATATGCGGACAAATGCCCTCATCTGGGAAGCCAGGCATTTTGTGCTCACCTAAATTTTGTCATGACTCATGCTTGAGGCAGGGAAATGCCAATGTTCTGTATGAAACTCCAAAAGACCCAGCTGAATAATGGGGCCTTGAACAGAGGAGGACTTCAGGGCACGGCAAACTGATTTTCAGAGAATAACTTCACCGTAAGTGCATGCATTCCATGTGCTGGCATTGAGCAACCCAAGAGGATCAGCAGCCCCACGGCTCAAAGCTGGCCATTGCCCTCACCTGAAGCCCCCCCACTCTGTGCAGAGCAGCCCCCCATGCCTGCTGCTCAGAGTCACACAGGGAATGGGGCTCCAGTTCCCATCTCAGGCTTCAGGTGATGCAAGGTGAACTAGAGACAATTCCACATCACTTAGAAGCTGAACCACTCTGCACGTGAGAGTATAAAGCCCTTGAGGGAGAAGGTGAGCAAGAAGTGGAGAGCCAAAGCCACCAGGTCAGAGAGCATGGGGACACGTGTTGTAGTCATAGAATCATGGAGTTGTTTTGGTTGGAAGAGACCTTTAAGACCATGAAGTCCAACCATTAACCTAGCACTGCCAAGTCCACCACTAAACCACGTCCCTCAGCACCACGTCTACCCATCTTTTAAATACCTCCAGGGATGGCAACTCCACCACTTTCCTGGGCAGCCTGTTCCAATGCTTGACAACCCATTCAGTGAAGAAATTTCCTTATATCTACCTAAACGTCCCTGATCCCAGAAATTATTACATATTTCACATTAGACACTCATTAGATAACACACAGACACTTCACCTCCCTCAAAAAATCCCAAAACAACAAACTAGAAACCAAATCACAAAACCTATTTTGGTTTTACCCTAAACTACCTTTAGGAAAGCTGTTCAACAGCTTTGTCAGGAGACAATTATAGGCCATAAGACCACCAGTTAAATGCACTTAATGGCACTAAAAATAAGCTTCAAGCAAGAGAACAGATGATAGGAAGGCAGTAGAGAGGCAAAGTAAAAGCAGGTTTTAAGGACATTGGAGATTCTTTTTATAAATACTCTACTTTTTAACATATTGCTGTTTCTCACAGGTCTTTAACTGCATTTTAGAACAATTTAGCAAGGTTTTATCTCTGCTCACCTTTGTATTGCATGCTTCACATGCCACCGCCTCTCAGTACCTGCTTAAGAGTGTGGTGACAGGCTGCAGGTGCCAGGACTTTGGCCTCCAGCCCCTTGCTGAACTCCTAAAAGCAAGGGAGAGGGTAATTTAAAAACGGCACATCATAAAATACAGCCAACAACAAAAAGAAAAAAAAATCTGTGCAAGTTGTCACTGAGTAAACTCTTTCAGGAACCTCTTTTCCTCTCAAAAAAAAATAAAAAAAAAATCTGTGCAAGTTGTCACTAAGTAAACTCTTTCAGGAACCTCTTTTCCTCTCCTTGCTCGTGGCATTTGGTCCAGTGGTAGCTCATTTCCAGTAACAGCAGCTGCAGACACTGCTGCATGACTGGGTCACACGTGCGGAGCCTCCCCAGCCTGCCTAATTCCCCGTGTTTATCCCTTCTTCCAGCCTGGATAACTTTTTTTTTTCATTGACCCAATTTTTGGTGTTTAGTTTTTTTTCTTTAATTCAAAAAGCCTCCTTGCTTGTGGCATTTGGTCCAGTGGTAGCTCATTTCCAGTAAGAGCAGCTGCAGACACTGCTGCATGACTGGGTCACACGTGCGGAGCCTCCCCAGCCTGCCTAATTCCCCGTGTTTATCCCTTCTTCCAGCCTGGATAACTTTTTTTTTTCATTGACCCAATTTTTGGTGTTTAGTTTTTTTTCTTTAATTCAAAAAGCTCTACATGCTTTCATTCATCTGAGGACTTACATCAATCCTTTATCTGTGCTCAGGCTCAGCCCTGCTCTGGGGACACAGCTCTGAACACCCAGCTCTGCTCCTGGGAATACAGGCTAGCCCAGTCCATAAAGGTTTCAGTCAACTGAAAGTCCTTTCAAATAATCAGCTCCCAAATACTGAGACCATCTTCCTCTTTCTAGAGATGCAAGTTTTGGAAGTTGCCAAAACCTTTAATTTCCCAAGATTTCAGAGGTATCTGGACTCTGGTATCTGCAATGGGAAGGTTTCTGACTTAAGTTGTATCCACGTTTTGAAGCTAAGAGCATTACCCGTCTCAGCTGAAGTACCACCCCATAGAATGTTTCAGGTTGGGAGGGACCTTAAAAATCATCCAGTTCCAACGCCCCTGCCCTGGGCAGGGACACCTCCCACCAGACCAGGTTGCTCCAAGCCCCATCCAGCCTGGCCTTGAACCCCTCCAGGGATAGGGCAGCCATAACTTCTCTGGGTGACCCGTTCCAGTGCCTCACCACCCTCACAGGAAAGAATTTCTTCCTGATATCCAGTCTAAATCTCCCCTCTTTCAGTTTAAAACCATCACCCCTCATCCTATGGCTCCACTCCCTAAAAAAGAGTCCCTCCCCATCTCTCCTGTAGGCCCCCTTCAAGTACTGGAAGGGGCTATAAGTTCTTCCTGGAGCCTCAATAAGTGTATTATCTAGCCTTGCTGGTCATTGCCACTGACTTCTAAAGCTCACCTCGTAGCTGGTGTAGCAATTTATAGACACCGCTTCTGAAGCTGGACACCAACTTTTTCAGCTGTTGGTCCTACTCAGTGACAAAGATGCCACTCCTCCACAAACAAAGCATTTCTGCATTTTCTACTTTCTTCACTCCTGAATCTATAGCCCATTAATTCTCTTCTGACTGTACAAAGCTGATATTCATATTACATTGTCATGGTTTGGGCTGGGTTGGCCAATGACAAAACGTTTTGAAGCTAAGAGCATTACCCGTCTCAGCTGAAGTACCACCCCATAGAATGTTTCAGGTTGGGAGGGACCTTAAAAATCATCCAGTTCCAACGCCTTTTGAAGCTAACAACATTACCCGTCTCAGCTGAAGTACCATCTCATAGAATGTTTCAGGTTGGAAGGGACCTTAAAAATCATCCAGTTCCAACGCCCCTGCCCTGGGCAGGGACACCTCCCACCAGACCAAGTTGCTCCAAGCCCCATCCAGCCTGGCCTTAAACCCCTCCAGGGATAGGGCAGCCATAACTTCTCTGGGTGACCCGTTCCAGTGCCTCACCACCCTCACAGGAAAGAATTTCTTCCTGATATCCAGTCTAAATCTCCCTGAATGGGAACTGGATTGTAGAACTCACTGATGGAGACCAAGGTAGACAAACTGACAGAGTCCTCTTCATTGAAGAGGAACCCCTTGTAGAGGAGTCAACCTGACCCTCTTTGATCCCTCAGCCTTTATACTGAGCAGGGCAGATGGTCTGACCCTATTGGTCAGTCTGGGTCACCTGACCCGTCCTCTCCTCCCCACAAGTGCAACCCCTCCATGGGGTAAAAAACCAAGTCTGCTGACTCTGGTTGTAGCAATTTATAGACACCGCTTCTGAAGCTGGACACCAACTTTTTCAGCTGTTGGTCCTACTCAGATCCTAGAGCCTCAATAACTGTTATTATCTAGCCTTGCTGGTCATTGCCACCGACTTCTAAAGCTCACCTCGTAGCTGGTGTAGCAATTTATAGACACCGCTTCTGAAGCTGGACACCAACTTTTTCAGCTGTTGGTCCTACTCGGTGACAAAGATGCCACTTTTCCACAAACAAAACATTTCTGCCTTTTCTACTTTCTTCATTCCTGAATCTATAGCCCATTAATTCTCTTCTGACAGTACAAAGTTGATATTCATATTACATTGTCATGGTTTGGGCTGGGTTGGCCAATGACAAAACTGGTGCTCTCCCCCACCTCTCGCTCCAAGGAGAGGAAGAAAAGAGAGAAAGAGATTTATAAGTTTTGGAAAAAAACCCTAAACTACTTTAATTAAATATTAATAATAAAATAAAAATAAAATAATCATAGAATGGCTTGGGTTGAAGAGAGCTCAAAGGTCATCAAGTTCCAACCCCCTGCCCTGGGCAGGGACACCTCCCACTGCACGAGGCTGGTCAAAGCCCCATCCAGCCTGGCCTTGGATAGACACAGTATATATAAATACATACAAAACCATATCAAGTTCCCAGGAAGATATCACCATCAGGCACTGGGGAAATTCCAGACTGGCCTCAGTGACAAATGAGAACTGGATTGTAGAATTCACTGATGGAAACCAAGGTAAACAAACTGACAGGGTCCTCTTTGTTGAAGAGAAACCCTTGAAGAGGAGCCAACCTGACCCTCTTTGATCCCTCAGCCTTTATACTGAGCAGGGCAGATGGGATGGGACACCCTATTGGTCAGTTTGGGTCACCTGACCTGTCCTCTCCTCCCCACAAGTGCAACCCCTTCATGGGGTAAAAAACCAAGTCTGCTGACTCTGGTTGCCACGGCAACAAGGATAAGCAAGAGCATCTCTCTGGGGCAGTTGGTTCTTCTCCACCCCAAACCAGAAGATACCTAAAATCTTTGCTACTGGGCCCACCATTTGTTACAGAGATGTTCAAGAAGCCACTGGAGAAGAGCTCATCTGTCAACAGCTACTGCAGTTCTTTGAGCTTCTGTTGTGAGGAATTGTGCTGGTGTCTTTTGAGCATCTCTTAACACCAGGTTTCAAATTGTTCAACTAACATTATTAATTATTTTCCTCAGATCTGACTCACCAATATTGTACATCTGGTGCTGTCATTCACCACCCAAAACAGTGCAAAGATTATGAAATATTACCATTCTGATTGGTAACAAGCCAAGAGGTTCATTCTATTATTCATGGAGATTTATAAGTTTTGGAAAAAAACCTAAACTACTTTAATTAAATATTAATAATAAAGTTTTGGAAAAAAACCCTAAACTACTTTAATTAAATATTAATAATAAAATAAAAATAAAATAATCATAGAATGGCTTGGGTTGAAGAGAGCTCAAAGGTCATCAAGTTCCAACCCCCTGCCCTGGGCAGGGACACCTCCCACTGCACGAGGCTGGTCAAAGCCCCATCCAGCCTGGCCTTGGATAGACACAGTATATATAAATACATACAAAACCATATCAAGTTCCCAGGAAGATATCACCATCAGGCACTGGGGAAATTCCAGACTGGCCTCAGTGACAAATGAGAACTGGATTGTAGAATTCACTGATGGAAACCAAGGTAAACAAACTGACAGGGTCCTCTTTGTTGAAGAGAAACCCTTGAAGAGGAGCCAACCTGACCCTCTTTGATCCCTCAGCCTTTATACTGAGCAGGGCAGATGGGATGGGACACCCTATTGGTCAGTTTGGGTCACCTGACCTGTCCTCTCCTCCCCACAAGTGCAACCCCTTCATGGGGTAAAAAACCAAGTCTGCTGACTCTGGTTGCCACGGCAACAAGGATAAGCAAGAGCATCTCTCTGGGGCAGTTGGTTCTTCTCCACCCCAAACCAGAAGATACCTAAAATCTTTGCTACTGGGCCCACCATTTGTTACAGAGATGTTCAAGAAGCCACTGGAGAAGAGCTCATCTGTCAACAGCTACTGCAGTTCTTTGAGCTTCTGTTGTGAGGAATTGTGCTGGTGTCTTTTGAGCATCTCTTAACACCAGGTTTCAAATTGTTCAACTAACATTATTAATTATTTTCCTCAGATCTGACTCACCAATATTGTACATCTGGTGCTGTCATTCACCATCCAAAACAGTGCAAAGATTATTAAATATTACCGTTCGGATTGGCAACAAGCCAAGAGGTTCATTCTATTATTCATCCTGTTAAAATGTAGTCCTCTCTATTAATAACAGTAAAATTACTTCAGCCAACTAAACATTCACTTGCCTTAAAACTCATCTGTTAACTGCTACCGGTCCACACATTGCAGGTGAAAAATACCTACTTTTGTCCACGAGTTGAAGTGCAAGCTCACAGTTTGTGGCAGGAAAGCTTAAATTGGAGGAAGGCTTTTCACTGAAGTGTGTAGTGAAGGGGAATAATTTCCTATACAAGAGCTGATTGCAGATTTTGCAGAGCATTTTTGAACATCGCCCACCTCTGGGAATCAAAACAAAGGCATGCCTAGACTGCAGTCACTAACCTTGCTTCTCAAGAGCAAATTAAAGAGCCCCATGCTGCCTCATCTGCCCATGTCCCACCAGCCACTCAATTTGGCCACTATGACTGACATAACCTGGCTGGTACAACCCTGGCTGACAAACTAGTGGTTTGTGGTTTAGTTTTTCCACAAATAA